GAGCCCAGCGCCCAGGGGGAGCCCAGCACCCAGGGAGAGCCCAGCGCCCAGGGAGAGCCCAGCACCCGGGCACAGCCCAGCGCCCGGGCACAGCCCAGCGCCCGGGCACAGTCCACCTGGCATGGCACGGCAGAGTCCCTCCCTGGTAGCACCACAGACCTTGCCCGAGATCTCTGAGAAGGCAGCAGCCAGCAGCCTGTTACTGTGCAATGCTCTTTTCACACCTGTATCAGATGCTTCATGTCCACAATAGCGTACGTTTTTGAAATAGCAGTAACAAAACAGACAAAATGAAAGAAATGTATCATAAAAATTAAAAGCTATTTTTTTTCCAAGAAAATACAAAACCAACAGACTTCCAGCAAAAGGAAAGCGCGAGTGGGAGAGCTCAGTGACGGACACGGGCAGCCAAGGGGCTGCCAACTCCCTACTGACACCGGCAGCTTCTGATACTGTCACTCACCAAAGCACAAGTGACTCGTTTGTCCACTAAAGAAATGGAACCAGAACTTTACCTTTCACATCAGGACAGGCCTGCTGGGGAAGGGGAGCAGGACATGCTGTACCAATCACACAGGCTACTCAATAACAGGTCGCTGGGCCTGGGGTTAGGCTCAGTGCTAAATCCGCGCCTTGCATGTGCCAGAATCCCATTTGGGTGCCAGTCCGTGCCCCAGCTGCTCCACTTCCCATCCAGCATCCTGCCTGTGGCCTGGGAAAGCAGCGGAGGACGGCCCAAAGCCTTGGAACCCTGCACCTGTGTGGGACACCTTGAAGAAGTTCCTGGCTCCTGGCTTTGGATCAGCTCAGTTCTAACTGTTGCAGCCACTCTCTCCTTCTCTTATAAATTTGCCTTTCTGATAAAAATTAAATAAATCTTTAAAATAAAAGTGGGTATCTGCAGAATGTTTTTATCCTACTGGTCTTGAGCCAGGACAGAAGGGCAAATAACCAAAAGCACCCACGGTGCCAGAGCAGGGCAGCATGCAGGTGAGGCCCTGTTGCTTCTGGGGTCTCCCAGATCGCTGGCAGGAAAACCGCCAGGACACACGGCTGGGAATCCTGGCACAGAGCACCACCTGGAAAACCTACAATCCAGACCGCGCAGCAGGGCAACGCCTCCCCTGCCGGCGCTCAGCCGGTGAGCAGGTGGCCCACCTCAGAAGCCTGAGCTCCACTTCCTCTGCCTATCCGGGCACGACACAGTGCCTGGAAACCTGCAGGCCAGGCAAGCCACACGACGCAGTGGACTGACTGCCAGGAGCAGTCCAGGGTTGCACTCCTGCTGTGGAACCTCTGGCAGGGAGGGACAGTGGGAAGTAGCCTGGAAAGCAAGGCAGAACAAGAAACCCTACTACCAATTACCAAGGGTCAAGCACGGTGAGTGCTGGGACAGAGCCCTTGCAGCCCTTGCAGCCCTGCCATGGGGAAGCGGCCATGCATTCCCAGGACACCTGGAAGAGAGGTTCCCCTGCCTGGCTCAGCCTTAGGCAGCCGGGCCAGAACTGTGCTTGCTGAGAGGAGGTGGACAGCAGGCCCTGCAGCACCGCCCCCCGAGGCCACCTGGGCCTTCTCAGCACACAGGAGGCAGCCCGAGCTCTCCAGGCACCATCTGGCACCTGCCCAAACAGAGCAGAGACAAGAGCCAAAACAACCTCCAGAGAATAAATGGTAACGCCGACCTCACACGGCCCTCCCGAGGGACAGGCCAGTGTCCCACACAGACACCGCGTCCCCCACAAAACGCCAGCACGCCAGCCCTGCCAAACTCGGAGCTCCCCTGGCTCTCCCGCCGCCCTGCCGGCTCCCCCCCAGGCTCACACAGCCGTCTCCAGTACAGCTCACACCTGGAAACACGAGTTCCCGCCAGTGAGCATCTACCTGTACAAGTTATCCAGGACCACGGGCAGATGCCGCCGTGCTCGCCCCTGGTAACAGAGGTCGGGACGCTGCAGTGCCAGCATCCATGTGGGTGCCAGCTTACATCCCAGCCAGCTGCTTGCTAACGTGCTCAGAAAACAGAGGCTGGCCCCAGTACTTGGAGCCTGCGCCCTCACGGGGAGGCGGGATGGAGTTACAGGATCCTGCGTTCAGCCTGGCCCAGCTCCAGCTGCTGCGCCCACGTGGGGAGCGGAAGAGCAGGTGAAGACCGCCACCTGGCTGTGACTCTCCTTTCAAATCAATAACAGAGCATCAGCGGATCTCGCAGCATCAGTGGACCTCCGCCCCTAAGCCTGGCTGCAGGCTGGCCCAGCCCTCAGGAGGACAGACTCTCAAGGTGGGCTGAGGGTGGATGCAGCCCGAGGCACGGGCAGCCTGAAGCAGAGAGGGCAGGACACTGAGCAGCACAGAGACTGCGGTCAGTGGGAGACTTGTGAATATCAACGGCAGTGAACAGGAAACCAGTGTCATTACTAGCGAGGATCGGGGAGTAGAGCAAGTGCTTTAGCGGACACAGATAGTAACAGCAGGCAGACAAGACAAGGGCCAGCACTCCAGTGTGACCAGTAATACCATCATCCCACGGGGGCACCAGCTCGAGTTCCAGGGGCTCCACTTCTGATCCAGTTCCTTGCTAATGTGTCTGGGAAAGCAACAGAAGACGGCCCAAGCGGAACCCTGCGACCAGACAGGCGGGCTGGAGCCCCAGACTCGTGCTTCGCCCCGCCCAGCCAGGGGCTGCTGGAACCAATCAGAGGGACAGACAGACAGCTCTCCCGCCCCGCTTCTCCCCCACCTCGTAACTCCGTTAAATAAACAAATACATCTAAAAAGAAAAGGAAAGAAAGGCAAGGAAGTTATAAAAACAGAAAGACCTAAGAGGAGGGACCCTGAGATTCCACTGTTTCTCCGCGCCTTTGTCGGCTCATTACATGGAGTATAGGAGACCTAGTCCACGTGAGGCAGGCAGAACACACGTGCACGCATACATGCACACACATATACACGCACATACACACATGTACGTACACGTGCACACACATGTACATGCACACACATATACACGCACATACACACATGTACGTACACATGCACACACATATACACGCACATACACATGCGTACGTATACATGCACATACACATGCGTACGTATACATGCACACACATGTACATGCACATACACACGTGTACGTACACATGCACACATATATGCACACACATACACACATGCATGCACACATACACGCACATACACACGCGTACGTATACATGCACACATGTACATGCACATACACACGCGTACGTATACATGCACACATATATACACACATACACACGCGTACGTATACATGCACACATATATACACACATACACACGCGTACGTATACATGCACACATATATACACATACACATGCGTACGTATACATGCACACATATATACACACATACACACGCGTACGTATACATGCACACATATATACACACATACACACGCGTACGTATACACGCACACACATATATACACACATACACACGCGTACGTATACATGCACACATACACGCACATACACACGCGTACGTATACATGCACACATGTACATGCACATACACACGCGTACGTATACATGCACACATATATACACATACACATGCGTACGTATACATGCACACATGTATACACACATACACACGCGTACGTATACATGCACACATATATACACACATACACACGCGTACGTATACACGCACACACATATATACACACATACACACGCGTACGTATACATGCACACATACACGCACATACACACGCGTACGTATACATGCACACATGTACATGCACATACACACGCGTACGTATACATGCACACATATATACACATACACATGCGTACGTATACATGCACACATATATACACACATACACACGCGTACGTATACACGCACACACATATATACACACATACACACGCGTACGTATACATGCACACATACACGCACATACACACGCGTACGTATACATGCACACATGTACATGCACATACACACGCGTACGTATACATGCACACATATATACACATACACATGCGTACGTATACATGCACACATATATACACACATACACACGCGTACGTATACATGCACACATATATACACATACACATGCGTACGTATACATGCACACATATATACACACATACACACGCGTACGTATACATGCACACATATATACACACATACACACGCGTACGTATACACGCACACACATATACATGCACACATATGTGCACGCACATGCACATGCACACACACACACACATACGCGGCTGCCTTCGAGGATTGTATATTCCCGTGAAGACATGAATAAAACCCACAACGTATCAGCAATACAGAGTACGGGACGTGTGGGAACGGCTCCATGAGCCTCCATCTCCACCCTGAGGACCCACGCGAGCCCACGGGTGCTTTGGAAGGCAGCGTGGCCATGTCCCGCAGGAGGCCTGGCTCAGTGGCTGGACCAGAAAACAGCACCGAAGCTGGAGGGGCCAGGCAGCTGGGAGGAAGAACGCAGCCAAGGGAAAGGAGATGGGCCAGAGAAGAAGGCTTTCCGGAAGCCAGAGATGAGGATGTGGCCTTTCCCCCAAGCCTCCGGGCGCTGGGGCACGGGCACGGGCTCAGGCACAAGCCGGGAGAAGCAGACTTAAGGCTTACGCCTCCACAAAGAACTGCATGGCCGTTACTCCGGTATGGAACTTTCCAGACCTAGAGTCGCAGAATGCCTATTTGCTTTTCTCAGGAGACTGTTGCCGCAACATTCTGAGCCCAGATGCCAAAAGCCAAACATGTCCTTCGGGCTGCTGCTAGCAGTGTCGATGCAGACAGGGGCAGCAGAGGCCGCACTGCAGGCAGGCCTACAGGAAAGCCCTGTGATGGGACAGAAGACGGCGCCCGCGGGGGCGGCCCTCTGCAGCAAGCACAACTCACTTCCGTCTCTCAAGGGCCCAGAACCCACGAGAAGCCAGGAAGGCCACGGCCCCGGCTGGCAGCCACTCACCGCCGGCTGCTCAGGGCCACCGGGCCGCTCCTCCTTCTCCACGGTCCTCCGGCAGTCTGGGCACACCCAGAGCGGCAGGTGCAGCACACTGTTGCCCTTGGGAGGCATGGACAGGGCCAGTCGGCTGGCAGTCTGTATCCCGCTGTCTGAGGAGGAGTCTTTGCGTTCACTTCTGCACAGCAGACAGCACTCCCCGGCGGGGTGGGCAGGTGCCCTGGGGCTCAGGCCAAAGCCAAAAGGAGCCTGTAACACACAAACAAAGTTCCATTCTGAAAACCAAGACTGCTGACATACAGATGTAGTTCCAGTTAAAAGGCACAGGTGGGGCCCGGCGCCGTGGCCTAGTGGCTAAAGTCCTCGCCTTGAACACACCAGGATCCCATATGGGCGCCGGTTCTAATCCCAGCAGTCCCACTTCCCATCCCGCTCCCTGCTTGTGGCCTGGGAAAGCAGTCGAGGACGGCCCAAAGCCTTGGGACCCTGCAGCCGCATGGGAGACCTGGAAGAAGTTCCAGGTACCTGGCTTCAGATCGGTATAGTACCGGCCATTGCGCTCACGTGGGGAGTGAATCATTGGATGGAAGATCTTCCTCTCTGTCTCTCCTCCTCTCTGCATATCTGACTTTGTAATGAAAATAAATCAATCTTAAAAAAAAAGGCACAAGTGGATTTACACAGAGGAACACAAAATGGGAAACTCATTAAATAAAACTGGACCCGGTGTTCTAGAAACGTGAAACGGCGGCGCCACGGGAGCAGGTGCCGCAGCACGGCCGCCCCCCAGGCCGCAGTGCGGGCTGAGGGCACAGCAACTTTGCTACTGCCACACTTGGGCCCCTCAGTGCCGCTCAGGCCGGGCCCCATTCTGGTGTTGGGGAATCCGTGGGGTGAACCAGCACACAGAGGGTAAACCTGTAGACTAAAATACATTCCAAAATTTGAGCACTAATGCTACAGAGATGATCTTAGGAGTTATAAAAACTGTCCAACTAACCCTTTCACCCAGACTCCTGACTGAGCTCTCCGCACAGGGAAACTCAGGCTCAATTTTAGCCCATGAGAAAACCCAAGTATCGTTTATCATCAAGCAGGTGGGAGACCACAAGCCGAGGGGCATCTGTGCCCAGAGGCTCCTGGACAAAGCACACTGGCGTATCTACGCCGTCCTGAGGAGGCCACTGAGACTACAGGTAAACAGCACGGTGCCCGGGGGCTGCCACACTCCCATGACCCAGCCTCTCTTCCAGGCTCAGCAACGAGGGAGTCCACAGGACTGGCTGTGGCTGTGCCACAGGCTGTGGCACAGAGCCGAGCCACCCCTGATGTGGGCACTCCTACCAGGGTGTAGGCTACGATGCTACTGCACTTGTTCTTGGGCTTCCTGGGCCAGGCGGGGCGGGCCGGGCCAGGCGCGTGGGCCTTCCCACAGGGAGTTCCTGGCTCCCTGCTCTGCCCAGATGACACGTGGCCAATGCCTCCCCGGGGCAAGTGAACCAGTACAGAGAGGAGGAAATCTCACTCCCTCTTCTCCCTCTGACAAACCTTAAAATAATAATGAAGCTATCTTTATCTCCAACTCCCCCATTTCAACGTTTGCTTTGTTTTTTTCTTTTTAAAAAATATTTATTTATTTAGGGACCAGTGCCAAAGCTCAACAGCTAATCCTCCACGTTCAAGCACTGGCAGCCCGTACAGGCGCCAGTTCGTGTCCCGACAGCCCCCGGTGGAGGACAGCCTAAGTCCTTAGGATCCTGCACCTGTGTAGCAGACCCGGAAGGAGCTCCTGCCCCAGCTTTGGATCAGCTCAGCTCTGATACTGGAGCCATTTTGGCAGTTCTTCCTCTCTGCCAATTTGCCTTTCCAATAAAAATAAGTACATCTTTAAAATATGCATTTATTTATATATATAAATAAATAATGAATGTTAGTGGAGCTGCCGGGACTCAAAATGCTGTCCATATGGGATGCCGGTGGCACGGGCCCCAAGGCTGCTTCTGCGAGCAACTCCTAAAGTGTGGAGGAGAGCAGAGGTGCAGGCAGGCAGTCAGGCAGGAACATCACTGCACACTTGTTCGGGAAGACGGCCAACTGCACAGAAAGATAAACCAAGGCCATGAATTAACACGGTCCCCACCTGGCCCTCAAGACAAGCGAGAGAAGCCCTGGGCAGTGGCTGGCAGCTGCCACACATGGACACACAGAGGCAGGCACTGCCTGGGCCATGCTCTGAATCCCCTGCAGGGGCCAGGCAAGAGAACCCCCAATTCCCGGCTGGCCAGCCCCAGCTCCCCGTGAGGCCTCAGTGGGAGGCGCTCTGCCCCACTGGCTTGATGGTCGATCAGACTCTGACAGACTGGCCACGAAGTCTGCTTCTGCAGGGACCTGAGGGCCTGAGTGACAGAAGGAGTGTGTGCCTCAGAGTGCATATCCACGCTCAGAGAGCCTCCCGGTCATGCTGCAGGTCTCCCCACCCTCGGACACCACCCTCCGCCTGGTAGGAACTGCGCACAGGCCCCTCCACCCTCCGCCTGGAAGGTCCCAGAACTGCACACACAACATCAAACACCCCGTGCTCTCTCATTTATCACCGTTAAGATGCTTCTGTGTATGTATCAAGAGTCATTCTGACTTTCACATAAGTATATCTTTAAAACTATTTTTAAACCACATGCAGGTTCTTTATGCAATAAGCACTGCTTGGAAAAGAATTACTAACAACTACAAATTTTCTTATGAAAGGACCTGCTGATTGATTTGAAAGGCAGAGTTACAGAGTCACCACTCTGTCGGTTCATCCCAGATGGCTGCTTGGCCTGACCTGAACTCCTCCCAGGCCTGCCGCGTGGGCACTGGGCCCCAAGCACGTGGGCCACCACCGTGCCTCTCAGGGGCACCAGCAGCGAGCTGGAAGGGAAGCAGAGCAGCCGGGACTCACACCGGCAGTCTGCTAAGATACGAGACATCAGCAGACAGGGGCCGTGTGACCCAGTGCCTCACACACCAGCCCTCAGCGTCTTTACATACATGCAAATGTACATACACATGTACGTGTGTGACCCAGTGCCTCACGCTCTATGCGAGTGCACAGCTAACTGCCAGGACTACACCTGCTCAGCTTAGAAAATAACTCACCTCCTGAAGGAGAGAGACAGACAGACAAGATGGCTTCAAACACTAAACCAACACTTCAGTTCCCGGGAAACAGCACAGGAGTCGGCTGACTCAGTACAATCCCGAGTGTTCACATAAAAGGACAGGGCAGGGGCAGGGTGCGGGCAGGTTGGGCACTGCCGCCAGGGCAGTGAACCAGCAGAGGGAAGAGTTGGATCTCTGTGACTTTGGTATTGATGGTGCCCCAGGTTTTGCCTGGTGCTGTGCCAACCCTTCCCTAAGCCTTGCAAGGACTCAGAGGGAAGGACAGGTCTTCCTACTGTCAAGTTGGGTCAGCAGTTAAGACAGCAACTGGGATATGGCTCGCAAGTCTACCTTTGCAGTAAGCTGCTCCTGGGAGCAACAGAGGCTGTTCCAGCAGTGGGCCTCACGCCCAGGCCAGTCCTGCACCACATTCCCAAGCCCCAGGCACCTGGGCAGTGAGCCAAAGGATGAGAGGTTTGTCTAAGACAAAATGGTAGCTAGAGAAATCAAGACTTGAACCAGCAAGTCATTTCACCCCTAAAGCCGCAGGGCTAGGCTCTGAGTCCAGGCCTGAGTTAACGCAGATTACAATGCACTGCTTCTCTTCAAATATCCTTGTCTGAGAATGTCAGGGAAGGCTTCCCACCCTTGTCGCCCACTCAGAAAATGCCCTCTGCTTGCAATGTAGTTCATGTGGCATCTTTAGTCCACGGGGACTTGGCATTGTGGCACAGCATGTCAGCCCCCCACCTGCAATGCCAGCATCTCCTATGCTACCCCACTTCCATCCAACTCTGCTGATGTGCCCAGGGGAGCAAAAGAACATGGACCAAGTCTTCGGCCCGTGCACTCAGGTGGGAGACTGAAGAAGCTGCTGGCTGCTGGTGTCAGCCTGGCCAGACTCAGTCACCGAAACCACGTGGGGAGTGTTCGTGCACGTCAGGACCCCACTCGGCCATCCTCTCCCGCTGCAAAGACGCCACGCTCCCCTCCCCTCCGCTCTCGCATCCTCCGTCACACAGCTAGGTCTCCTGGCCGCTCTCCCAACCAATGCTCTGCAAACTCCTTGAGACCAGACACGGTATTTCAACCACTCTGCACAGCACGGCTTATACAGCCGACTGTGGCCACATGAAAGACCTCGTAAATGGCACGCGCCAGCCTTGCTAGAATTCCCAAAGGGCTGGCAGCGAGTCGCAGCTGTTGGCACACCTAACCATGAAGCAGCAAGCCCCAGTGCCACCTGAGCTCAGGAAGCACAGGCAGCAGCAGCGGCAGCAGGCCCCACGCTCAGGGAGGGCCTGGGCTCTTGGTGCAAAGAAGCTGTTTCACCGGCACCCCACACTGAAGTCCCATCTGAGCTTTTATTTGGGGTTGGGGGGAGAGGAGGAGAGATTTTGTTAAACTGATTTGAAAGACAGAATTATAGAAAGAGGGTACAATGGGAAGGGCTGGGCCAGGTGGAAACCAAGAACCCAGAGCAGCTTCTGGGGCTCCGACGTGACTGCAGAGGCCCAAGTGCTTGGACCATCTGCTGCTGCTTTCCCAGGCACGTTGGCAAAGCCGGATCAGAACTGGGACAGCCAGGACTGCACCCATGGGTCGCGGCTGTTGCAAGCAGAGCCCTGGCCAGCAGCTCCTCACTCGGCTTCGACAGGAGCTCCCTGCTGCTGCATGCCCCAGGACCTGGTACAAGACTCAGGCTGAACTCCAGGCTGCTGCTCCAGCCTGGCCGCTGTGGCCACAGGGGAAGGCACCCCTCCTCCTCTTGGCTTGCTCTCTCTCAAAGAAAGCAGTTTCCCTGGCTGAGGAGAGCTGGTCAGACACAGGTCCATGCCGGTTCACTCCGAGTCACTACCTTCGCTTGGCTGGTCAGGAATTCAGAAAGAAGAGAGAAGGAACAACCTGTGGCAAGGACCTGGGGAAGGGGCACAGGAAGGGCGTGGAGTGCAGGGTGCCCGCAACGCTCAGCAGCACTCACCACCCTGCTGTCTGCCAGCCTCCTCCAGTGCTAACTCATGGGCTCAGGCACAGACACAGCAGTGAGGACGGAGCCAAGCTG